GACACTCCCACCATCTATGCCGGCTCAGCTGGCCACACTGACGACAACAAGCAGCAGCAAACCGGGCTGTTCAGCGGCATCAAGCTACCCACTTTGCCCAACCTGATCGAGTCCATCAGCAACCTCAACTTGCCTCAACTCGGCCTCAACGTCAACTGGGGAAACATTCCTGTTATCGGACGCCAAGACACAGGCTTTTTGGGCAAGTCGGGAACCTTGGGCGCGGGCAAGCCGATGAAGGGCCCGGACATCAGTGATCCCATCTGGGTTGATGGGCCGTCTAGCCCCCATCCTCTGTTCCCGAACCCCCCCTCGCCTCCGCCGCCGAAAGATCTGCCTCCTCCCTTAATCCCCGACGAGAATCCTTCGCGAGGGCCGCATCCTGTGTCTGGCCCTGGTGCGTCCTTTGTCTTCCCAACGAGTCAGGGAGAGCGTTTGCGTCCCGGCGTCCCTGGCGTGGTCGTTCCCGTTACTCGACCCACGAACATCTGGGCTGTACGACCTCAGCCCGGAGGTCAGCCCGGAGGTCAGCCCGGAGGTCAGCCCGGAGGTCAACCCGGAGGTCAGCCCGGACGCCAGCCCGGACGCCAGCCCGGACGCCAGCCCGGACGTCCCAAGCCGGGGAGCGCCCAAGGCCCCGGCTCAGGCCAGCAGAAAAGGCCGCCTCAAGTGAGCTTCAGGCCTGGCAGCCCCATCCTCCCGTCCATCACATACGTTGGCCCTGGACCAAATTCAGGGACACCTTTCCTGCCCGGACTTTCCATCAAGCAACAGGGTCGTCCACTCCCTGGGAGGCCCAGCACCCAGAGCCAGGGACCTGGTCGTGTCCCCCTGACCCCGCCCCCTGTCTCCTCTGGGTCTTCCCCACCCGGGCAGGGCACAGGGACCACGTGGCCAGGGAATCTCTGGTCGCAGCCTGAGGTCATAAATCCTGATTCCGGGGTTTCCCTCTACCAGCCCAGGGAGCCCTTCCAGCCCTACCAGCCCCACGACCCCAATCACCCAATCACGGTCGTCGACGCGCCCAACATGTTGTCCAACAACGGGGGGTCTCCAGCTGGCATGCCCACGTCACCCCTCATGCCCATGGGTCCTCCAGTCCACACGTCACCATCGCCTCCAGACATGTCGCCTTCTGAGACGCAGATGGTGGCAGACGGAGGATATCGCGGTCCAGACGCCGAGGACCAGATGTCTGGAAGGCCGCAGACAGGCTTTCCTCCACAAGAAAATGACTCCAGACTGCCTGACGCCCTTCCTCCATTCTCAGATAGTTCCGGAAGAGGGAAAGACAGTCAGGGAACGACAGATAGTCACGATGGCTTTGAAATACCAGTCAGTCAACAGGATCACGAAATATCAGTGATTCATGAAGGCCAACAAATACCATTCAGCCATCATGGCCAACATACACCGGAGATTCAAATCCCTGTCAGTCACCAAGGACACACAAAGCCAAGCAACGACCATGGCCAACGAATCCCAGCAAGTCATACTGACCAACAAATGCCATTCAGTCATCAGGGTCAACAAAAGCCAACTAGTCATCATGGGCAGCAGAACCCAGGGAGTCCCCAAGGCCAACAAACGCCATTGCATAATGAAGGTCAGCCTACACCACCCCAACAAAACCCGGGAAATCGCATCGAGCAGGACGGAATACCAGAGGAGAAGCTAAACTCCCCTGTGGCGCCCACACAGCCAGCAGAAACTCGCCCAAGACCCGTGAGACCGACCGACAGCTTGCCAAGCTCTCAGGGACCAGTTCCTCCTAAGGAATCACTGGACGACCTCATCAACCTTCTATATGCAGCTGAGGCCGAAGTTCAACAACAGATGCAGGGCACTCTAGTCACAACGCCCTCCATCAACACGCCAGATGAAATTCTACCGGTCAACCCATCCAGTTCAGTTTCATTCGATTCTACAGCCAGTGCAAGTGTACCTGAGGTCGGGGTCTCCATCAGGCCAGAGATAACTCACGCTCCTCCAAACACAGTCTCTTCCACGACCCCCAGATCTACAACTTCGACCACGAGCAAGAGCACATCCACATCCACTACTACTCGCACTACAACAACGAAGGCAACCAGCACAACTCCTAGGACAACAACCACAGCACGAGAGTCTAACAACAGACAGGATCTCCCACCGGATATGGTTCCACCCCAGCTTGGCAAAGGAGTGACGGTCGTCCAGGAACGGCCACCCGATTTTCACAAGGAATCTGTCGAGCCCAACCAGGCCCCTCCAGCTCGACATCCCGAGGACCATTCACAGCCCGAGACTTTTCCACCCGTCGGAGAGAGAGAACCAGGTCATCGCCCTTCAGAATTCGAAAATACGAACTTCCCTCCGTCGCCAAACAACCCTTCCATCACCGACAGCATTCCAACAGGCTCTCAGACGGCCTCGAGATACAGACCTGGCGTCGTCTTGCCCGTTGATAAGTCGGGTGAGCCACTACCCGGAGTCCGAGCCCGCGTGCCGCCCAACAACACCCAGATCAGTCCCAGCAGGAGCATCGGGCGGGGAGGCGTCCCCACGATCGAGCGCGTGGAGCAGCCGAGCAACCGACAACACAGCGACAAAACGGCCGTCGTCCAGGGCGTCGACCTGCCGGAAGAGAAATTCAGCGACGTTCCTGAAGGGGAGCCTAGGCCACCCATACCGAATACGGAATTCGAGACGAGCGAAGTTAACGCAATTGACTGGTATTACAGCAACTACTTCAGGGAATATGACCCTTATGCTAATCTTCCCGTAGGAGGAAATGAGCCTCCTAGTGGTGCAGCGACAGTGAGTGTTATGTACAGCACAGTAATCCTCTGTATGATTACACTATTTTATAACCAAGGTCATTTATTGTGAAATGACATGCTAACTGATTAGGAAAATTGTTACGTTTTGTTCTTCCTATTGTTGATAATTTATATCCAGATTAATATATATTTTTGTTACAGCAAATGCAAAGCATTGTTTTGCGTTTATCATGTGTCCAGCATTGATTACATAAGAAAAATAAATCCACAGTGAGACAAAATGATAATGCTACAAATTGTAGTTAAACTACACTGTATTTTGAAAAAATCTCGTACTTTAAGGTTCACAAAAATACATTACAATGACTTATTACCAGAAATTGTTATGAATTTTGATTGCACATTTACTCGTAGAATAATACCAAGAGCCATATTATATTTTCCAATATAAGTAGAGGTTTAGCACTTCAAGTAGATAAAGTTTTACATCAAGAACATGCTATATAACATCTATAAGGAAACAAAAACCTTGTGAAATACATTCCATTTAAAACTCCGATAGAAAGTAACGTGTTTATATGTATTTAGATATTAGGGTTATATAAGTTACATAACCTTATGTTTTCCTACTTGTGTATTATAAACTACTGAAATATATGTAGATAAGTGAAATGTGGTACAGTTTCAGTAAAAAAATGCCTCTTCCATCGTATCCGCTTTCCATCTCGTTTTGTCAATATAAGTTTAAAAACTAGAGGAAACTTTCAAAAAGTGTGTATATGTATATATATATATATATATATATATATATATATATATATATATATATATATATATACATACATATATATATATATATACATATATATATATATATATATATATATATATATATATATATATATATATATATATATATATGTATATATATATGTATATACATATAAATATACACTTACTTTTATACATACATACATACATATACACATACATATATATATATATATATATATATATATATATATATATATATATATATATATATATATATGCATATTTATATGTATGTGTGTGTGTGTATGTGTGTGTGTGTGTGTGTGTGTGTGTGTGTGTGTGTGTGTGTGTGTGTGTGTGTGTGTGTGTGTGTGTGTGTGTGTGTGTGTTTGTACATACATGTATATGCATATATATATATATATATATATATATATATATATATATATATATATATATATATATACGTACACACTTCTTCATCTAGTCGTCTCTTTTACAACAGGTCTTTTTTGGTACCGATTTCCTCCATGACACTATTCACCCCTTTTTCACGGGACTGAGGACAAGAGAAAGATCGGTCAGGGTGGTTACCCATTGCCTTCCCTGACAGTGGTTTTAGCCAGACACTGTCTCTCGGAGGCTCGTCAAACAAGGCTAAAGAGTCCCCTCTACCCTCATTTCTATTCATCTCATAGGTGGAACACTCTGGGTTGAAGTGGTTTGGGGCAAATAGTGTCTAAGTGGTGACTCCAAATTCCTCAGGCCCAGAACCCACTACCGGATACAGCTTACACTCATACCCAGGAGTAATTATGTATATATATATGTGTGTGTGTGTGTGTGTGTGTGTGTGTGTGTGTGTACATATATGTGTGTGTGTGTGTGTGTGTGTGTGTCTATACATATATATATGTGTGTGTGTGTGTGTGTGTGTGTGTGTGTGTGTGTGTGTGTGTGTGTGTGTGTGTGTGTCTATACATATATATATGTGTGTGTGTGTGTGTGTGTGTGTGTGTGTGTGTGTGTGTGTGTGTGTGTGTGTGTGTGTGTGTGTGTGTGTGTGTGTACATATAACACACATGTATGTGTATATCTGTTATATACATATATGCATGCTTATCGAGGTCTTTATATCCATACACTTATATGTGTATATATGCACATCTCTTTCTCTCTCTCTCATACACAAACATACACATGCACGTATATGTATGTATGTGTGAATACAAATATACTGAATAGAAATAAAAATGGGCTGCAGCGATAGAATAAGAGAAAATAGGCTGCAGCATGCCTAGAGTCAATTATATCGTAAGAAATAGGCCGACTGAAAGGCTCATGGGGGGTTCTGTAAACACTCTGTCGGATTTCTATTGGAGATATCTGATGAATATCCCAAGCAGCTAAAAAAAAAGAAAGAAAGAAAGAAAAAAAGTGGAGGGAAATATGACCCGCATCTCGTATACCTACTGTCTATTAGCCATCTTTCCATTCACTTAACATTCCTTTTCGAAAAAGAAAGATGACAAAGAAAATAGAATGATGATAATAAAAGAGATAACACAGAGGCCAAGTAGAAGACAAAAAAAATTAACTAGAGTCTCCTTCATGTCTCTTAAAGTGGAATGAAAACAGTCGCAGTTGCTAAAAGTGCTGGATCCGCTCTCCGTGAGGCTCGGAGGTTGACTCGCTCGAAGATCCTGGAGTCAGTTGGCGTCTAGACTCCGGAGAGGAAAGAGGAGGTGTCTCTCATGTCCTTGCGAGTGTTTGTGTGAAATTCCAAGAGATAAGAAAGTCAGAATAAAGATACTGTGCAGATATATTAAAGGCCTTTCTGATTTTGATTTTTCTTTTAGTATAATCTGTGCTCAAAAAAAAAAAAAAAAAAAAAAAAAAAAATGTGGAAAATAGGAAGCATACAGTGCAAAGTCAAATTTTGTGCCCTGACGTGACTGGGGGAAATGAGACAATGGCTGGAAAGCACGTACCCATAAGCCTGAGACCCGAGGACGAGTACCACCACTACACAGCGTGCCAGCATCATGCGGCGGTGGCATCCGGTAAGGTTCCTCGGTCCCGGGTTCTGTCTCCCATCCCCGCCGTCTCTGTCGCTCTTGCTGAGTATATCTTTATCTCCCTATTAGTACACGCACGCACACACACACACACACACACACACACACACACACACACACACACACACACACACACACACACACACACACACACATACATATAATGTAAATATGTATATGTATATATATGTATATATGGTAGAAAAACCCACAATGTAAAAACTAGATTTATTGAAAATGAAAGTGAGACGACAGTTTCGGAATCCACCTGGATTCCATCCTCAGGTCCATCCTCAGACCTGAGGATGGAATCCAGGTGGATTCCGAAACTGTCGTCTCACTTTCATTTTCAATAAATCTAGTTTTTACATTGTGGGTTTTTCTACCATAGTATCAACACGGTAGAGTGTTTTCCTCATTCATATGTATATATGTGTATGTATATATGTATGTGTGTATGTATGTGTATATGTATGTGTGTGTGTCTACATGCTGTTTTTATATACATTTCCTGTTTTTCTATTTTATTTGTGACTCCCGTCATCCAGCAAAGTTACCTTCCACTACTCAAGATTATCAACTGAAAGTCTTTTCGTTCGTGGCAAAGGCACACAGACGATGATATTGATGGGTCAAGGTACGCCTTGGTACGGTCTCTCTCTCTCTCTCTCTCTCTCTCTCTCTCTCTCTCTCTCTCTCTCTCTCTCTCTCTCTCTCTCTCTCTCTCTCTCTCTCTCTCTCTCTCTCTGTCACCCAGTTTATCTGTTTATTGATACTGTTTTGTATCTGCTTTGTCAACCAATATTAAAGTTGATTACGGTAATTACAATACATGAAGAGGCTAACACCCCCTTTCACCATACCTACGTGTGTTATTTCGACTGGTTATAACTAAAACGATAAAGCTATTCAGCAAGGATATTCTGCAACCGAAATAACACAGCAATTAAAAATGACATCGAAATATCACAGGATGTTTTCAGAAGGACGTTTTAACTACGTGTCAAGGAAACTACTATCTTTTGAAAGGCGATAAGAGAAAGGTGGTGTTACTTCCTGCAAGACACGTACATCTATAGGCAGACTACGTGACTGGCTCAGGAAATGAAAACAATGACGATTAGAAAACAGCTGAAGGTCTGAGTGCGTTAAAGAAGAAAAAAAACAACAACTAAATTAACCGTGATTTTTAATATGACTTGATTATTTCATTTTCATTTTTTATGTGATTTGATTTGATTTTTTTTATACGGGTTTGGATAAGGTGAAGGAGTTAATTAAATAGATTTTGAATTCATCTTCGCTCCTCAAGACCAAGAAAGCATCTGCATTTAAAGAAGATGGGATGTGCTTTGTGAAGATCCTGTTTCGTTGAGGTCGAGGGAAACGCGGCCGTAAAGAGGCAAGGAAACGGTAATTATCAGCAGGTGATTATAGCAGTTACGTGTAATTATTGTACTTAATTATTGGTCAGTTCATCTAACTTCGTTTTCCACGAGAATAGAACAAATTTGGGATGGTGAAATATTGGATTAAGAGCGAAGGTGTAAAGGTGTTCAAATAATATAAATAAAATATTTTAAGTTCGTGTTTTTATTACTGAAATAACAGTCACCACCTTATTCTTCATGAAGATTTACGAGACAATTGTGAACCGTAATTATATTCCTCACTATAAACACACACACACACACACACACACACACACACACACACACACACACACACACACACACACACAAACACACACACAAGTATTTGAAATCTTACCACATATCCGGAAAATGGATCAAGTTCAAGTTCACATGCAGATTTAGAACCGAGAAAAGAATAAACCCAGACTGACGAAGGATAGAAAGAAAGAAAAAAAGAAAAAAAGATATCTGCTGAGTCCCTTGGGAGAAAAACAAATACCGAATGCGAAGCGAAGATCCATATTCTGATTCGACAGGAAATTCAGGACACGATGTTCTTCTGTCTGAATGTCTAAGTATGTCTGTTAACTTGTCCGCTTTCTTTCCTCTTCTCTTCTCTTGTCTTCTCTCTCTCTCTCTCTCTCTCTCTCTCTCTCTCTCTCTCTCTCTCTCTCTCTCTCTCTCTCTCTCTCTCTCTCTCTCCCTCTCTCCCTCCCTCTCTTTCTCTCTCTATCTCTATCTATCTTTTCTCCTCTCTGATTTACATGGAATGTTTGAGGAGGTTTAGCTGTCAACTTTTTACGATAAAACTCAAATGTGGAATCACATCATTTGACTTTGGAAGATTTTAAGCACTAAATTTGAATGGTTAAAAAGGCTTATTATAAACATTTTGCACTGAACTTTAACTTTTGGAAAGGTTTACTTGTGTATTTTACTTTGCCCAGAATCACTTCATAGACCAATATGCAAAAAATACTAGAGAGAGAGAGAGAGAGAAAGAGAGAGAGAGAGAGAGAGAGAGAGAGAGAGAGAAAGAAGAAAAACGACCAAGACAAAGACAGAAAACGATCGAACAACCCCCCCACCCCTCCATTTATCTTCGAGTCTTCAAAACTGCTATACCAAAAGGGGCCACTTAGCAAGCATAATGTCTCTCCCACACACATCCCTCCCCCAACCTCACCCACAGGCCCCCCTCAGTAAGCATAACGCGCCTCCCACACCCACATTGACCACACAGCACCGACCATTTGCGCCTTGAACTAATGTTTGCAGACGCCCGGGCAAACAAGGCACAGGTATGTAAACAAGGCAGCTAAAAGCCATCATCATTATTGGTCGCTGGAGTCTTACGGTCGTTGTGGTTGGCACAAACAGGAGGGAGGAA